GCACTACCTCATTTGATTTCTTTTCCTTCCACGATACTCTTAGCAGTCTCCTAAGGAACCACATTTCTGTCGCTTCTATTTCATTTTCACTAAAGTATTAATAATAAAGCATTATATCATCTTATCTCATCTTATCATATCTCATCTCATCTTATCTTATCTTATCTCATCTCATCTTACATTATCTTATCTTATCTCCTCTGTTCTACGTGAGGACCCTACCTGGTAGAGAGCAAACAGCAGGAGGATCATAATGGTGCAGAAGTAGCCGATGTTGCGACAGTAGGCCTTGAACACAGAGAACTTCACCTGGGGGCAGAGAACGTTGATGTAAAAAAAACAACAACCCCAGCAATAAACAAAAACCACAAACAAAAACAAAAAACAAATAAAAATAACAACAATACCCCCTTCTAAAGAAATCTACTCACAATAAAAACTTAATATAATCTGGAGTTTCAGACTCATTCAAATAACATACCTGGATTAAGGTAATAATAATAAATATAATAATAATTAAAATAACAATAATAATAATAATAATACTCCAAATGTCCAACGTTTAAGCAACTGACCGCTTCCTCGTGAGATAATATATTTTTCATCATCATCATCCAGTGCCAGATCTGCGACAGACATCGGCGATCATGGTTCTCCATTCATTCCTTTGCTCGGATGCTCTTTAAAAAAAGCTACATTTCCCTGATCTTTCCCTGTTACCCATTTGTTTGGGTGCTTTAAGTATGTTGTTCTGGGCCTACCCCGGCCTCGCTTGCCCTCAAATTTGCAAGTGAGGGCTAGATGATCAAGACCTTTATGTCTATGAAGGTATCCTAAAAACTGGTTTAGTCGTTTCCTGGTTGTTTTTAACAGTGACTTTCCCACATGGGCTTCATCAAGCACTACCTAATTTGATTTCTTTCCCTTCCACGATATTCTCAGCAGTCTCTGAAGAAACATCTTTTCCATTGCTTCTATTTAATTTTCACTGTCTTTAGTGATTGTCCAGCATTCACAGCCATATAGAAGGGTTGACCATACATAGCATTTCAGGACTTTCATTTTGGTAGCCATTGGGATTTTCTTTTTTTCAGGGTTGGGCTCAGTTTATGGAAACTAGCTTTATACATTGCATGCAATATCTTCGATAAGGGTGTAACATATTTCAACATGTCTAATGTTTAAGCAGTAGACAGAGCCAGCAATTACTGAACGCTCCCTCGAGAGATTATGGATGTAAAATATCCCCAACATGTCCAGTGTTTAAGTGAGTGCACAGATCCAGGTACTGACCGCTCCGGCCTCAGTAGCCTCCTCCCCCGTCAGTCTGACCACACACCCGGCGTCGTTCTGCACGGGGGGACGGTCAGTGAAGGAGAAGCCTTGGTGGGTGACCTGTCTGTCGTTCTCGTCTGTCGGGGTGACAGAGCCGGAGCCGTTGCTGGGGCACATCTGTTGGAGGCTGTGGGGGAGGGGGAGGGGAGGAGGGGGGTGGGAGAGGGAGTGGGGACATGGAGAGGAGGGGGAGGGGTGAGGGGATAGGGGAGAGGAGCGGGGAACATCAGAGAGGAGGGGCAAGGGGGATGGGGAACGTGATTAGGTCTGGTCGATAGACCACCATTTGTAGTGACCACCGTTTGTAGTGGTGGTGGTGGTAGTAGTTGTAGTACACATACATACCCATACACAATCATACACACACACAAACACACACACATACCCACACACAAGCACACACACATACACACATATGCATACACACATACACACGCACACACATAAACACTTGCACGCACGCACACACACACACACACGCACACACACACACACAAACACACACACACACAATAGGTAGAAGTGTGAATGGTCGTTGGTACAGCTGTTTGGTGGTCATTACAACAGGTTGAAGGTTATATACTCGTTTGGTCTTTTTTGTTTTGAATAGTGTTTTACGGCGCTCGCAACTGCATAAACTCATTTATGAGCGCGCGGGACACATTAAACTCTTACTGTTATAAGGAAAATTTGAATTTGGATAGGTGGCGGGCAAAGTCTTTTTTTATCGATTTCGTTTGGTCTGCCTGCACAGACCTACCTTTGTTGGTGGAACATGATGACGTCATCCCCGGATGTGTTGCCCTCTGATTGGCTGGTCAAAGCCTCCACGTGTTCCCACATCTTTCTCTTCATCTGGATCACTGGAAGGGAAGGGTCAGGTCAGGGATGCTGGAGTTAGTTTCTTCATTTTATACAAGATAGTAGTATTTATTGTCTATCTTTAGTTTTAATAAGTGTTTTACGCCACTTGAAACACAATAAGGTCATATAAGTGCCGAAAATTCGAGGTGTTACAAGAGAGTAACAAACACAACAAAGAAGGAGGAGAGATGAGGACGATAGATGTTTGATAGGAAAGAAGGAGTTGAGATCAGGACGACAGATGTTTGATAGGAAACAAGGAGCAAACCACACCAGAGGAACCGCTATTGCCTGTCTAAATTCTAATTTCTTCACAAAAATGAAATGTAAACATGGCATGAACAATCTGCTCAGCTGTTCTAAACCCAGCAAGTGACACATTATTTCAGTAGAGAGAGAAAAGATTAACGTTATTTTAACATTTTCCTCCCATTGTGTAGTCCGTCTGTGGCTGGGTCAGACTGACCTTCCTGGTCCGAGTCGGCCTCGGAGTCCAAGACCTCCTGGTCTCTGCGGAAGTGCTGCAGGAGGAACTGAGCGAAGTGGCCGTCCCTCTTCATGAGCTGCAGGTAGGAGCCCACCTCGGTGATCCGCCCCTGGTTCAGTACCACGATCATGTCCACCAGGGGGAGCCAGTGGTAGGCGTTGGTCGTCATGATGCGGGTCTGTGGGAGGTGGAGGGGGAGAGAGGGGGGAGGGGGGAGGAGTCAGTGAGCCACGGAGAGTGTGAAATTAACATACTACCGTTATTTTTAAAAGTGTACGTTAAATGGTCGCTTTTAAGGACAAGCGGGCTGACCCAGATTTCGAGGATTTCCAGAAATTTTGAATTACACCGAAAGTGGGCATTGCCCTACCTATGGGAGAAGTTTGGTTTCATTGGTGTGTATATTTATTTGGTTATAGAGAAAACTTTCCTAGTCTTTCAAGAAACTGAACAATGGTCCAAAAACTTCGATTTACGTAAAAAAAAAAAAAGCATTTTTCGGGATAGCCCCCTTGTGATTAAAAGCGACCAAATATCTGGCCACCCTACTACAATATGTCGAAGGCCCAGAAAGTTGTCTCACTACCAAACCAATCCCCAATGTTCGGATCGGATGCGTGAACAACTTTACTCTCTTGTAACTCATCTATTCTTTGGCGCTAATATGACCTTATTGTGTTGCAGTGCCCTAAAACACTTATTAAAACTTTTAAAAACTAAAAAGCCCACCTGGTTCTTGAGAATCCCCTGCTCCGAGAGGACCCGCTTGAAGATGTGTTTGCCCACGTGAGAGTCCAGGGCGCTGAGAGGATCGTCCAGGAGGTACACGTCAGCGCCTGCGTACAGCGCACGTGCGACGCTCAGCCGTTGTTTCTGACCACCGCTCAGGTTCACGCCCTGGGAAGGAGAGACGTCAAAAACAGTTTGTGAGTTGTCCATCACGGAGAGATACGTCAAAAACAGTTTGTGAGTTGTCCATCACGGAGAGATACGTCAAAAACAGTTTGTGAGTTGTCCATCAGGGAGAGATACGTCAAAAACAATTTGTGAGTTGTCCATCACGGAGAGATACGTCAAAAACAGTTTGTGA